TGTCGTGTTTTGCACGATTCCTATAGGATAGCAAATTTAACGGTCACGTTTCTTCTTGAACTTTGATTTTGACCCCCGTTTTCACCATCGTGACAAAACCCGGGTACATTTTCAAACCCTAAGTCTTCGCGTCATATCTGACTCCTGAGTAGCTATTTTTCCTTACAGGAGAACATCTCTTTTGTACTCCTTTTCACATATGTCGATATAACTCATCAAGTATTCCACTCTGGCGTCAAGTCCGCCCATGATTCCCTTCGCTTCCTCTTTAATGACACTTGGTAGACCCTTCTCTTTCTTCAGCACCCTCTGAAACATCTCTCCCAGTGTTGATTCCTCCTGCAATACACTTCTAATCCGCTGTACGGTGCTTTCCCTGAAGCGGCAGTTGCTGAGGTAGGTGTTGACGCCCTTCCCGCATGTGTTGTTGCACCTGTCCGGCCGGTGGTTCCAGTCTGTCCCGTACAGCACGGGCGGGCATCTCAGGATGGCGGAACAGACGGAGATGTTGGGGTGAGTCCACCAGGCCTCGGTGTCTCCTGTCGACACCAGGCGGAGTTCAGACTTACCTGCGGAAGCCAAAAAGTTGGATTTCATCACTACATTAAAAATGACTAACATGCAGTTGTGCAACTGTGGAAATTTATGTGCAATTTTTGATGCTATATTCTTCTGTTATTGTGGTCATGGGAAGTCGGGTGTTTTGTGCAAGGTATACGTGCAGTTAGTGTTTCAACAACCCTCATTTTTATATGGTAAACAACCCTCATTTTTATATGGTGATTTTGATGAAAAGATTGCAATGCGTTTCGTTGGCAGCTTCTAATTAACGTTCTATGAAGTGTGACGCACCGAAGTGTTTCCGGTTAGGGCGATGTACCAGGAAGTCTAACAGGAAGATGTCGGCCATATCCAGCAAGGTCTGTCGGGAGTTCTTCATCTTCTCCATGTGTTTGAAACTTGACTCATGGCGGAAGAAACCTCTCAAACTACCCTCATGATGGATACTTGCCTTACTGTGAAAGTCTTTCATGTTCCGACCAAGACGACGTTCAGTACCTGTGAACCCAGGTTAGGCGATAGTTTCTGTTTGGTTCGTGTTGTATTCTCGTTGCCAGAATGTGACTTCAATCGGGAATTGTTCAAGCTAGTCTTGTTTTCTTCCAAAATTTTGCCGCTTGTTAGTCCGGGTATGTTGATGTGTAGTGTTCGGTACACGACTGTTGGCATCCTGTTGATGCCCGTCAGCCGATCTACATAGTAGGCGAAAAGCTCAGCGAGAGCTGTCTGTGGAGTAGCTGTGCCGACACCGGGACGGACAACCAACGCAACACCTGTCAAACCGTCTTCCAGCTTCACCGTGATCTGTTTTGTTTTACCATTGATAAGGTGGCCGCTGACGATTCTAGACTCTCTGAAAGACTTGGAACTTCGCTGTCGTACTTCGAGACGTCTCGTGCATTACAACGGTGATTGTACTCCGCGAGCAGTGTCGATATCCTGCCGTCTGTTTCTTCGTGATCTCTGGGTCTTCCCGCAAGACAAGGCTAGAGCTGGTCTCATTCATGGCAACCATTTTTCTCAGTTGACTCCCAATGCTAGGGGTCAGTGATGAGGGAGAGTTGGCTGCCTGCATGTGGTAGAATTAGATATGACGGCGTACTACAGACGTGTCCATCACGGAATAGGGTATGACCGATCCTCGTAAGGCGCTTCTTGTAGTGAAACGGCATCTCCAGAGCTGAAACCCTCTCTGGCAGCAGACAACGGTCGTTATCAATCATCACGTAGTGAAGGTCGTCTGAGGTGGCGAAGTGGGAATGCCCAGACTTCATACAGTTGGCGATGTACAGAAACGTCACATAGGTGAAGAAGTTGTCAGGATGTATTCTGTCGGCCAAGCTGGGTGTGAGCTTGGGGAAGGCGCCTAGGTTTGGTACCCAGCTAGCGACGTACGCCGTCACTCCTGTCTGAAAGACTGCCTTGTCGCTGATGTTGCAGTCCACAGCTTGTCTGACGACCGCGGCGTGTTTGTTGTCTAGCGCGGAGAAGGGCAGCAGGACGAGGGAGGACGGAACGGTCAGGCCGGTACCGAGCACACGGTCCAGGTAGTGGGTCTTGATCTCCCTCAGATGGCTCTCTCCCTGACAGTGTGTAACAGGTACGCAGATTTAGAAATTGTAGAAAACAAGTTAGGTGGCTTGTCATTACATGTATACAGTGTTTTTTTTTGTTGTGTTGCTTTGTAGATTATGCCTACTGACATATACTATGATATATATGATTTCAATTAATAACTTGTATTCATGTAACTAACCTGGTAGTGTGAGAGGTTGCTGAAGACTGATTTGACTGAAACTCTTGTGGTCACACAGTCACCAGTTCTTGTCACCTTCAAGTCATTAGAAAAAATTAAAAGTATCAGCGAGAGGTAAAGATCTTTTATGTGTGGACATGTAAACCTTCAGGCGTCTGAACATGCGAAGACCAAAGTTCGCACGCCAAGCCAAAGGCAAAAGTTTCATTCCTTATTACTACTTTTACCACTAATTCATAAGTATATTTTTACCTGCTCCAAGTCTGCAGAGAAGGAAATACCGCAACCAACAGGTTTTACATCCGGGTCCTCAATGGCTGTGTTGATAGTCGCCGGTTTGATGTCCCGGATATTCTTCAGCAGCCATTTTGTTTCTGCCAGGTTTTCCAGGCTATACAGTACACAAATAAGTACATTATGACAAGTAGAATTGTATCGTATTAGAATAACTTTGTTGCAACTCAAAATGACATCTGTAGTCAGTTCAGACTGTGAAGCTGCTTTTTGGACTCTTCGAAAATTTTGAATGAAAAATAGCAAAGCATGCAATATGTTGAAACATATTTGCATTAATTCTGAGGTAATTTCTGTTTCAGCATGGAGGTAGCTCCATGGTTTCAGTTGGGTGTAAACACAACACAAACTGACTTACTGAGCCCTCAATGGTTTACAAATTGCACAGTGAGTCAATTTTTCATAGCAATTTTAGGCTCTAGACGTTTGCTCACCTGTCGGCATTGTCCAGTGTTCTACACCCGGAGACACCCCCGCCTCTCCCCCGTATGAACCTGAGGCTGGAGCCGGGGTGGCTCAGTACGAGCCGGTCCAGCACTACAAACAGGAAGTGGCACGCCAGTAACGTTAGGCACGATCCCAGGATGCACCACTTCATCCGGTTCAACACAGTAGACATTCGAGGCATGTCTCTGGAAGATGATTTTTAAAAATCATGGTTCACAGTTATTAGATACAAAACAAAACAAAACATGTCTTATATGTATAAGGCATGGTCTGGCTTGGGGGCCTTCATCTTTGACACTGGGCAGTCTTAATCATGAACCTCCTATAATATCACATAGCAATGAGGTTTAAACCTCCTTGCACATAGCTTAACCCAATACGCTACATCTGAGCATTGCGCAGATGACGACACGTTATTGCATCAATGGAAAGTCTGTATTGCCTTGGATAGAAGCTTTAAACTGGACCGCCCATCCGCAGTAGGCAATAAGTATCTCGAACATTTGGTTTTTAATAACTTTGGTAGGGTCAGTGGTGAGTAATACTCGGATGTCGCAAAATTTTACACCACTGAAATCATGTACCGAGGCAAAATGAACGACAAAACAAGCGAGACAGACGTACAGTGCAGGCAAATACTAACGGGGAGAGCTAGATGTAGAGAGTGTCATTAGAACCATGTGCGTGATAAATGTTTCCCCTGTGCTTAAATATAGTCTCTTACTGTGAATAAACACTGAAACATTGTAAGGCCACACCAAGTAAATTTTATGGATGACGTCCGCGCGCGCATTGATTTTGGCCTGTTCCTAGAAAAAAAAAACAAGAAATTCCGCTTCCTGTAACTATGACCAGAGAGTCACGACAGTGCCACAAATCGTTAGATTGACGTGAACCCCGTAACGCGAAATGGGTAAAGAGCACATGCTTTGTTTCTGCAGGCCTGCAAAAATATGATGAAAGAAACAGGACAGGACGATAACTGCTGTTCCACCTGATTCATTGCTTTTTTGATGATGAATAAACGACTTCTTGCTTGTTAATCTGTGTCACCTCATTCAATTTGTGTCCTAACATTTGTCGTCTCTTAGTATATTTCTAATCTAGGCATCTTGTTTTTCAGGGCCTTTCTTGCTTTTTTTTCGCTCTCTCGCATTAGATGTAGGGTCTCCAAAGGACGTCATCCATAAAATTTACTTGGTGTGGCCTAACAAGACGACACCTACGTGCTTTGTGAAGACCAACGTCACAGACTCGGAGTGTTCTCGCCGGCAGGTACGCGGTATGACGTTCTCAGCTGCAGGGCTTGAGCAACAGTCACGTGGTCCAGACCTGATGATTACCGCACCTGACAGGTGACGCGTCTGTCTTACCAATGTGGCAGACTCATTCGCTCATTGATGAAGTTTCCCTCAAACGATCCTTCCAATGGAAATGTTTTACCGTCAATTCTCAATATGCTGATTATCTTTTTGTAACTTGTCGATGTATGTGCGCATCCGTCTGTCTGTCAGTTCATGTGCATGACGCTATTTATTGTTCTTTTGTCGCTCATAGACAAGCAGGTAAAGAACTTGAAATAAGTACAGAAAAGATTCAAGTGAAACGCATTGCAGTTTGACAACTTTAGCTAACTTCATTTCAAAAGAATCTGCTCTCGTGGCTAATTTGTACCTGGTTGAGCCACACACAAAAGCCGCCAGGTGTCGCTTTGGCATAGATGTAAAGACGACAGAACTTCTAGCATGCAGCATGTAGTCACCATCTCATATATTCATATCTCTCATAACTTTTCATTGACTTTGTTATATGAAAAGTAGTCTTCTTCTTTACGCTACTGGTGCAAGTTAAAAACATTAAACAAGTGAAAAATACAATTACACAGCAATATTGGTTAACTGTCAGGGTTCAAAAGTACTTTATTTATTCTTTGACAATAGATTGAATGTCTAGAATTATTCACAAAATTTCTTCTATAGTCATAATTTTCAATTGACATCGAACAAAAATCAATTTTAATTAACAAGTGACAATTGTATGAATAATTTTGTTGTTAATATATGCAGGCAAGTTCTATGTATGACCTTATTATATGCTAATCAACATGCAATGAAACAAGAACAGAATGATTACAAGCTGCACACAATTTTGCTGCACGAGCCTTTACTTTCTGTTTTCATTTAACACATCTAATATAAATGAAACAATTTCATGTATGCGTGAAATAGAAAATTACAAAAAAAAAAGTAGTATATATGGTGAACGTGCACACTAATCAATTTCATATACATACATGTCTGCGTAAAATATAAATTTACCAAGATAAATTTACTAGTAGTATCTATGGTGAATGTGCAAATAGTGGCTTCTTAGGCTTGACATAGCCTTTAAGCACTTTCCACAAATATCACAAATGTACTGTCTGCAGTTGGTATGTTTCCTTTGGTGCTCCTTGAGTACTCTCCTACTCTTGTACACCCTCTGACACACCTTACAAGGAAACAGCTGCCCCACTTCCAGGTGCTGCTCCTTCATGTGAACTTGCAGGTTCCTCTTGTATCCGAACGTTTTGTTACATTCCCAACACTGGAATTTCTAGTCTTTGTGGACAGTTTTCTGGTGTTTGTGTAGCTCTTGTCTGGAGTTGAAGATGGTACAGCATATGGTACAGCAGGGGTGCTGGGGGTGGTCATGACTACAGTGCTTGGTTAGAGCTCTCCTGTCCTTCCAGGGAGTGCTACATACGGGGCATCTGACCAGCGGTGTTGCAAGTGGCCACTGCACCTGTAAAGAAAATAAATCTCGGTGAAGCAAGGACGATAACACCAAAGAACTACTTATGGCTACCTACATGTATCATCCACTTACATGTGCTCTCAAGCATTGAATTCACTTACAGTAGTGTAGTTTAGAACTGGGGGAATATAAGAATGAACTGACTGCCATCAATATTTCAAGTGAATACAGTGAAAAGAGAATATATGTATAGATAATCTTGTCATTAGTGGTAGTTTTCTCAATTGTACTTGATCATGAATGCTGATGGTTTAACTTGGCAGGAATGAATACCCTTTTTCATAACATCTCTTTGGAATGAAAGCAAACTTAAGAACTAATCTTACAGGACTTGCTAATACAGCTATACAAACTATATCAATAAAATAAGTTTGAGTTTCATTCTAAACTGAACACACACCTGTTGACCATTGCACAGCTCCTGAGAGTTGGCAGACACACCTTCACCTGCAGCAGATGTTGGAGCATCTGTGTTGATGGTGTCCCTGTGCAGCTGCTGCATGCTGTCCCCGCAGCTGTCATCCACAGCAGACGGCACAGCAGGCACTGCTGTCAGGAGGGAGCTCTGTCTGTACATTCCCTGTGTAGAGCTGTCCTCCTGAAACCCTGTGTTATAATCACCATACTCATCACTGTCTGGTTCTACTTTAACCTGTACTTGTACCTGTGCGTCACTTCTAGCTGTGTTTGTAGGGATGGGATCATGTAGCTTTGCTGTTCTCAAGTTCTGAGCTGACAGTGCTGCTGATTCATAGTCAGTTTTTTGTAATGTAATATTTCCACTAGTACTTGATGGGGGAGTTACAGAAAGGACACTATGGTGAGGCTTGATAGAGCCGTAACTTTCAATTCTCCAAAGTACAGCCGGACTGTCTTGACTGGTTCTACCAGTTTCTGATTGCATGTTTTCTATGCTATCTGTGTTAAACTGTTCATGTAACATTTCCTCAGACTCATGTTCCAATAAGGCCATTGGAGATACCTCTTTGATACTGGTATTCTCCCTGACATTAGACCTATTGTCCAGCTGAAAAGTAAAATCATTGGTAGCTCTGCTATTCATATTACTAGTAGAGTCGCTATGTGGACTGCAAAGCCTGTCTGTATTTTCTGAGTAAACTTTTGCTGTGGAAAATTCTGAATGTACAGGCAAAGCCGTCATTTCTTTTGTTGACACGTCACCATAGCAGCTGTTGTTTTGTATGTTGTTGTTGTTTCCTTGTTGTGTTTGTGGACTGGGTGTGGACGGACCGAGGCTGTGGCCACAGCTGATGTCCTGGATGCACCTGAAGGATGTACAGTTGAAGAAATGCCTGAGCACCTGCAGCACGAGGTCCCTGTTGGCTGTGAAGGTACAGTCTGGGCAGCTATAAGACTCCTCCATTGCAAAGTGATAGTCGCACAACTCAGGTGGTGTAGTCACAGGTCTTTGTAAACAGCTGAAATAGATATAACAGACGGCTGTTAATTTCTGGCACAACACAGCATATTTCACACATACACTTGGACATGGGATGTTTAATTCTAGTGTCCACACAATTCCAGCTCTGTCTCTTCCCTCCCAATGTTTATTTTGTTTAAAGTGCAAAGAATATATATTTAACAGGATGCAGAAAATTATGCGAAGAACTCCTAACTCAACTATTTAGCCCAAAATTCTGAAAAACATATACTGTGTACTCATGTTGTAAGTAACTTACAAAGAATTACATGCACTAAGCATGTGCACCACCACCCCCCACCCACAACGAAAACTTTACCCTCTGTAGCATTTTTAGGCAAGGACGGCGTCGTATGTCGACTATACACTTTGATATAATCATGTGGTAGCTTGAGCGGAACGGAAGTGGCCATGCGTATATATGCAGGCAGGACGTGGGGTATGTCTTAAAACAAAGGTGAATTTCAGCTAGACCTAGACCTAACCACAGTAACGTTCGGTTGTATTTGTCAACTTTCACCATACAGAATAGGAGGAACAGGCCTGGAGAGCGATGTTTATAGGGAGAAAGGAACCAAACCTAAAGACTGCCCACGTCCACACCACAAAGTTTGTAGGCCTGTAACCAATTATGCCCCCCCTCCCCCTTTTGGCACGAAAACGTTGTCCTACACCAAGAAAGGCAAACAAGCAGAGGAACCTACCTGTCAGCTGTCTTTCCTAGGATCTCTGCTGAACTATCAAGACCTTTAACAAAGCTCCGAGCTTTCTGGTTTGAAGAAATCCTCTGTAATTCTTGTCGGGATTTACTGAAAACACAGCATGACCTTTGCCCTGATCGTCTGTTAGCATTGTGGGTACAACAGGTGTAGACGATTCCATTGGAGGACAGGGGGAGGAAGGCCGTAAATATCAATTTTGTCATGTTTTACATTATCATTAAAACGAGAAAGGAAAAGACGCAAAAAAATAGCATGTTACCTCCATGTTACATATAGATCATATAACGTTACAGCGTTTTGAGCACGAAGGACCACGTTTGTATAATAGTATAACAACATAGTACGTAAGCATTAATGTTAAATCCACAAATAAAAAATGCGAATGAAATTTTCTCACCTCTAATTATAAGGCTGGACATTCTTTAAAAACAAAATTTATATAATTAACAAACATTCCATGTGAGCCAACTAAATAGAATTCGGAACAGGTTTTCCATTCTTTTTCGTTTTACACATTTCTAACGTTTGACAACGGAAACCGTGACTGTGCAACCCAAGAGATGCACACGGAAAGCTTTTGCAAAGACACCGACTGTGTTAACGTTTCAACGCCTCCACTGTGGCAGAAACTACCCTACGGCATCCTCATAGAAATCTTCCGATGGTTGTCGGTAAAAGAGGTGCTGAATGTTGCCAGGACGTGCCGACACTGGCGGAGATGTGCCCTCTCCGCGTCCGCTTGGGTTCACAGGTGCATCGTGTTGGATTTTACCGCTGGTGGGAGCTCCAAGGGGACGAGTCAGGAGCTTGTCGAGTGGCTGACGACCTGCTTAGGACATGCTATAAGACATGTGAAGGTTAGTACTGGTGCAAGAAACTTCACTCTGCTACTGCCGTGAAGGCAAAAGATACGAACATTCACGGATTATCATTTCAGCACCAAGGAGAGCACCAACCGCCCGCGTCCGGGTGGAAATCAGCACCCAGGGACGGACCTGTTGGAAGGCGTGTGGATCTGTCCTCAGTGCGGCAGGACAGTCCTTACCAGGGATGGCTTGTGGATGGAAACACACAGTTTCCACCGGTCTGTGACTGGATTTAAAGCTACACTTAAGTCCTAACACAATAAAAGAACACCCTAACATTTACACTTCTATCTTTCGTGACTTGGTCACAAGTGCAAAAGGTTTTGCGCAGGTAGGAAACTCAAACTGTCATGGAGGACATCTGCGTACTTACTATTTCGTGTCTTTGTTGCCATGTTGTTTGAGTAACTTGTGCTGTTGATACCGTTTCTATGGATACATTTCGTCATCAACCGTTCATTCTCGAATGATGCAAAACAGACGACATACACACGTTCTCGAACACATGTACATATCAACCAGAGACGGTATCCAAAGCAAACTGCACAACATAGCCATTAACTGACACACGTTTTAGTGCTGCTATCTAATAACTATCAAAATGGCTCAGCGTAGTTTTCCGTGTCGGCGATGTCTACACGACAACTACCGACGGGTTCCCGAGTATCTTCAAGCTCGGATGCGGCGGAGTTTGCCAAGCAGGCGGCGCACTATGTACAGAGTGTCCTTCCCTAACGCTCCGACCCCCGCTGTTCCAAAATGTGTAACACTAAAGGATGATGTTCTTGTTAAAATCTTCAAGTACCTGTCCACGGACGATTTGTGCAGGTGCGCTAAAGTGTGCTCCGCATGGCGGCGCTGCGTCTGCATGTCGCCCCTGTGGGAGGGAAGGCGGGTGGTGTTTGATTATAACGCCTGGTGTGCCATAGACTTCAAACTCAGGTGTAGCAAACATTGCTGGCTTCTAGGCGTGTTTGGTGACGTTATCAGCAAAGTTAAGGTGAGCTTCCGTAAATAGTTTCATCAGGTTGGTAAAGTATAGGATACGGGAGTTTTCTTTTACAAAACCAAATTCTCTATCTCACCTATATATAGAGGCGAGAAGCAGAACTTCTGTCAGAAGCTTTGAGGAGGAAGGTGTCTAATAGACACCGAAACGTCAGCACTTAGGTGAGAAAATTTGGTTGTGAAAGAAAACTCCTGTATCTTAACTTAAGCTTGTATCGCTGAAACAACCATGTTAGAGTTTCGTTAACACCTTATTCTAAGTGGTTAATCCAATCATTTATTACAGAACTTGATCACTCTTCACAAATCTATTGCTATTCTTTCCAGATCATCTTGTCCCTGGTCTGCGAGGGGAGTCAGGACCCTTTCTTCACGGGACTGCGGATCAGACGACAGCAGTACGACATCATGGCGGATCTGGTTGCCAGGGGCAACCTGAAGTCCGTAGAGATGGAGTTCGTACAGCCTGCAAAGAAGCAGAGCGCTTCGTGCGAGCACAGGGAGTGTAATTGGCCGCTCGTCATGTTCCTACGGAAGGTGAGCGGTGGTATGTTGCGATAGTATATAACGAATTGCTGTCCGTATGGAGTGAGTGAGTGAGTGAGTGAGTGAGTGAGTGAGTGAGTGAGTGAGTGAGTGAGTGAGTGAGTGAGTGAGTGAGTGAGTGAGTGAGTGAGTGAGTGAGTGAGTGAGTGAGTGAGTGCCAGTAGAGACGCTGCGCCATACGAGCTGAGAGACTGACGGAAGCGGAAGACAGTCTAACAAGACGAAAGAAATATCCCAAGAGAATTTGGGTTACTATCGTGTCAAACCATTATATCGTTGCTTTTGGTCTGTTAGGCTGAAAGATCAATATTCATCTTGGCCGTTTTAGTTTTTACCCATAATGCCAAGCACAGAATTTTCTGCCAACACATTGACGTGATACATGCATTCATGAGAGCATATCTATATGCCGTATACTGCTACTGTGCCAATACTGTACTTCATATTTTCCGTGACAATACATTCTATGACAATTCCTATGATTCATAAAACATTTTTCACTGCTTGACAAAAAAAAAATTAATTTTTCAGGTTGTCGTGTATCTCCGTGATCTGTCCCACCTGTCGATCCAAGGCCTTCCCGACGTGCACTGCGAAGGGCTGCTGAAGACCCTCCAGCAGGTACCGTCCCTCCGTAGACTGGATCTCAGCCACAAGCGGCAGCCATCCTCTCGGCAGGTGTCCTTACGGGGAAGGCTGCGCAAGGCTATTCCAACAGCTGTTGGCCAGGTGAGGACTCCATGTTGATATGAAATTTTCCTTTTCTATTGTACTGTTTGTTTTTCAAATGTTCGCTTTATTTATTTATCTGTATAAATTTGTTTCCTTTGTTAACCATTTTAAATCCATAGAAGAAAACATTGCACGAAAGCAAAACAATTTAATCAGTCACTACAGAAAATGGAGGGAGCTATCAAATAGGTTGACTGGATAGTATGTAATATGTAATTTAGTGTGTGTGTACTCTTATGTTATACTGTTGTCTTTGTTTATTTCTGTTGTTTGGTAGAATAAAGTTTTTTGTTTTAGGCTAACAATCTTCCAATACATGTAACTTGTGTCAATTGTGTCTAAAGCCAAAACTTTTTGACTACTTTAGTAGACTTTAAGTTGTGCCACTTTAATTGTTTCAGCTCCAAAGTCTCCGAGTGCTGAAGCTAGCTAACATCGACATACAAGACGGTCTGTGGCACGCTCTTTCCGACAGGAAAGCTCCCTCCCTACAACAGCTCAGTCTGGTGGTGTATAACGACTATAACCCGTTCTCACACGCATCCTGGGAACGAGTTTCTCAAAAGTGCCCGGATCTCAAAGTCGAGCTTTTCTTCGTCAAAGGTCCTTGGAGATACGCCCTCACCAGGGCCGAGTTCTGGTCTTTCCTGCGGACAAACATGAAGCTCAAAACGCTGGTAGTTGCACAGAAGAAAGTATCAAACGACATAGAGATGAGGGATATCCTTACCACGATTATAGAACGACATGCGCAGGTCCTGGAGACACTGCTGTTTCTACAGTCCGACAAGCAGCCCGTCGCCCCGACGAACATTGTCGAGTTTGTACGAAGTTGTCCGAAGCTTACCGATCTGGTCATAGGTCCTGCGATCGGCGACAGGAGACTAAAAGCAGCGGCGAAAGCAGGACAAGGTAGACTGCGGCGTCTACAAGTTCGCCTGGTGTTGAAGGAAGTGCGACACCCGCCAAGACCTCGCCTCATGACGCGTGAAGAAGCTGGCATACTTCACACCGAGATGACGCGGTTGCTAGGATACAAGTGGACGACCCCTCCCCACATGACCTTAGCTGAGAACTTCGAAGATGCGCATGACATTCTACCTCAGGACAAAATTATTGAACAATATTTGTAAAACAATCGATCAGTTTTGTGGAACTGAAGTATAGATTTACTTTGCTATAACAAATCGTCACTTTAACACAAAACTGATTCAAGCAACGATGTTTTGTAAGGAAATAATACACTAGTACTATAATCTGGTGATAGTTTGTCAGCATTGTCAATATTAGTTAATGGTTTATCAATGTGCAACATTGCAGTAAATATAATATGCACTTTGTGTCATTTTCGCAAGTCGGCGATGTTTGATTACTCACACTCCGAATATGGCCTCCCGGACATTGCCGAACTACCCTCAACCATGGTTAGGAGTAGGTCGGGAGTAAGGTCGGCTGTGGTTGGCTGCTGTTCGTGTTCAGCGAGGTCGGCTACTGTTCGGGTGAGCCAGCCGAATGTTTCAAAATGCTAAAACATTTGGGTGTGAATGGAAGGTTTAGCCATGGTTGGCTAGTGTTCGGGAGTAGGTCAGCAGTGGTTGGAGCGTGGTTGGCAGTCAAATTTGACTCAAATTTGACTCAAATTTGATTTAATTCCTATTGAAAGTTAGAAATTGCAGTGCATGTACTTCGTCATCATAGAAGGAAATTTAAAATCTTTCTGATATGTTGGCTCCTAGTGCCACAGTCATCTTATTTGAGTCTAATACTCGTGCATACAAGTAAGAGAATTGCAATTTTAACGCCCTCTACTTTTGGAATTCCTTCATGCTGACAACATTTTATCTCATATAGGCCACCATATTTGCATTTCCGGCGACTTTTGACTTATATAAAACTCACTACTCATAAAGCCTTTTAGTGGCTAATATTTCCCAGTGATGAACTTTCTTGCACTTTTGTACTTTCACCGACTTATGGGGGGGGGGGGGAGGGCACAATCGTACAGCATTATCTGATCTAGAAAATGTGTTGAGTTAGCAATTTTTTAAATGGGTTTAGTGTTGACTTTTGCCTTAATGATATTTACAAATCTGTCATTTCAGCTAGCATGATGGAACATTCCATTGTTCTGCTGTGCCCTCCCGTAGCGTTGAAACTGACAACATTTATCATATCACATTTATCATACCACATACCTGGACGATAACGAAGTCTAAATTTGTTTGGGATTCGTGGGATACTCAAACATGAACGACCTCTTGCTGAATTACACCCGGCTATACAATACATATCTAATCACTGATATCAGTTATAACGGTTCCTAACTATTGAAATGACAACTCAGATGACATAAACGTGCGGTAAGCAGTTTGTTATTCACACATTGGCGCTGACCTCGTGGGCAATGTCAACCTTACTTGCTCATAAAAAATCGTGACATCAAACGTCAGCAATTCTTATACAACAAAGAGTACAATTCAATGATTTAAAACTATTAGCCTGTTCGGATGTGAGTGGTCGTCGTGTTTAAACGTTTTTGCGTTTTAAGTATATACCTTCGAGTCATTGCAAGCCCTTTCAACTAGAAGCGATCGGGTACCTCACTATATCACAGCTGTCGGGGTTCCCGACGGTGGAAGCGATGTGTTGATAACAAAAGAATGCCATTAGCAGTTTGCTTTTGACACAGACTAAAAGAGTTCACCGGTAGGGTAAATTTTGTGTCAGTACATCAAAGGACTATCAATATTTGTCACTGATATGGCGGACTAAATGTGGTGCTCAATCGATATCTGTACGCGCGGCACTTTGAGCATGAAGACAAACAACAGCGAATGACGAATTTCAGGTACGCCATTATCAAACACAGATAAAGTCCGTTTTACGGTACAAGCTTACAATCCTTTACCTTCGAGATGCAAAATTTTGCACACCGATTCCAATCCTTTTACATCAAGTAAAAACAGTCAGAATCCACTTTAGCACAATATTGTTCAATGTAGACTGCTTAAACAAAAACACAAAACAATTGTTAATTTTGTGGTAAGCTAATATCTATATATATAGCTAGCTAGCAGGTAAGTGCCACGCAAGTCGCTTCTCTGTCATTTCGTATGTGAAATTCTATGCATTCTAACTCATTGCATGCCCTGTCAAGTCGATAATATTCTCTTGCATTTGGATACACTAGATATGGATATCACTATACATGAACAGTCTACAGGGACAATGTACTGGGTATATCTTCTTCTCAAATTAATTAAGCTTTTAAGGCGTAGGCATTTGAACACATTTTAGTGTGCCATATGCATATACAGCTATCAGACATAAATGGTAAATTTCTCACTATCCCTTGTTTTATTGTCCACGAGAGACAAGGCAAATAAACTATCGATGATATTTATCTTGACTATGTGTCGAGTTTTTTAAATATGTATGACCATTTCATTGATTCTAGTTTATAATAGTTGCATCTGTTTCACACATCATGTCCACATATTTAAAACATTGACTGACTAAGTGTAAGTGATTCAGCAAGTCAAACTTCGGCTACGTCACCATCCCCATAAATCATGTTGGTCAAATATCTAAAAGTTGAAGGAAATTAATTAAGTTAATCTCACGTAACAGTTCATCAGTAATAATGAAATAGGAAAACCTTTTCACGTTGTACAGTAAGAAGGAAAAACATGTTTGAAGTACTTTGTCACACGTGACGAGAGCTAATATACTATACTGTAATTCGAGATTATTGAGATGTTTAACTTCATGAATAGGCATTCTTAGATTATACTTTTAGTTCTTATGCTAATTATAAGCTAAGAGGGGCATCTTAAGTCAAGTAAATTTAGGTGCCATGATAAAATAGTTGCCCTTTAAAGTCACGTTTTCGATATTTTCCTATAAAGATTTGCCCACAGGCCAGTGCCAGTGCCTTGTTTCTGTGCAACAGTTTGAGTGCTTTCCTGATTTGCTGAACATTGGGTGTCCGTGCCTTCATCTAAGGGTTGCCTCATTGAATCATCTGGCGGTCTTTGGACCCACTCTAACACTGCTTTCTTTTGGCTTTCGTTCAAACTACTGTCCATACTTAAAAATCGACCACTCGCTGCTATCTCTCTTAGCTTAGCTTGACAGCTCAGGAAAGTTGTGCTAAAGTGCTCCTTGTCGTAAAGGTCACCGTCTGTGATGCCGCGATGTCCACAGAGTAAAAGAAGCATCCCTGAAAAAGTAGACAGAGCAAATATGGTTATAGGTGAACTAACCTATTGTATATATAGTTCTGTGGTGGATTGCAATGTTGTACTGTAATATAGAAATGTTTATCTCAGTCTGTTTTTTCTTGTGTAAAACTATCATCGATAACTTCAAATATTTCATAATAATATTATTATTAGGGATAATAGACACTGTCGTCTTTTTGGGGGTGATTGTAAAGTTTTTCGTGTGGATTTCAACCCTAAGTGAATACAATTGGTAACAGATCTAGCCTAACTCTTCTGTATCTTGCTTTCGACATTTACGAACACTTGACCAACGGTCCACTACATTGGCTTTATTTATAGAATTTAACTTTTTTTAAAGTACCATCTTTTCCACAATTGTCCTCAGCCGGGCGAACGATTTGGCTTGCTTCGTCGGGTTCAGTGTCGTGTAAGATGATGTTTCTTGCACTGTTGTCGACAAAGCACAGGACTTTGCAGGGCCAGTTGGCGATTAGCTGTTTTCTCAGAAGATCTTCGTGACCCCTTGATGTCACGTGGAATGGCTCTATGTCAAGGTCCAGGCCTTCAACAACCTCCGTTATAAGCCCTTCGCCTGTTTCTAGGGTTGACTTATTGCGAGCTGCGAGGTATATCCTTAACTGGGAATGCAAAAGTATTTAGCATATATATGAATTCTCATTTAAATAGGTAGGTAGGTAGAAAGAAATGTCTACTAGGATAGTTAATTAGGTAGACTGTGAATTAGTTTGAACTGGTCTGGAAATATGAACACATTAGGAAGTGAGAAATTTGATAATATTAGGTGTACTTACCCTTTTCTTTACTGTTCCTGGTGTTAGTTCCTGGATAGCTGGATTACATGTAGACATCTGACCTTTATCAAATGCTGTCGTCAACAAAAGCCATAATTGGAATGTCAAACTAGAAATTAGATTAAGACTCACCGAGGAATGTAGTCAAATTGCCAGTTGAAAATAAACGGAATAGTCGTTTCAGAACATTTGATTTTTGTTATGTAATAGCGTGCAGTGCATGGTTGTTTCTTCATTGGAAAAGACAAGACATGCTGGATAATAATAATGCTAGGTGTCAGCAATTAGAGAACAGAACATATGACATTACATTAGCAATCAGAGAACAGAACAGTACACCTATACACGTTGCAGAGCCAGCTGAATGTGACCAGATTTTTGCACCAACGCAGAGAAAAATACAAATCAGAGCAGGGTGGTCATATTCCCTTAAAGTCTTCTATGAAGCTGGCCTGAAATAAAGGTACTGCTTGTGCAAAAATACGCTTAAAATATAGAACGTTACATCGGTGTTCTGGTGCCCTTAGTTTAGATAGATTAGGCACGGACGTCGTCTGCTGTCAATGAAATAATCATGGCTATTGTACGGATACATATTGAAAAAAACTTACCTCTGATGATTATACCAAGGACGTCATGAAGGAACTTCATATCGTTGAATGAACTGATAGAACTTGTATGACTTTTGCTTTCGTCAAGAACTGACACTGGAAGAGATGCGTACGGTGTACTCGTATCATCGCGACAAAAATGCTCCACAATTTCGGCACGTTCCTTTTCAGGAGAGCATTCCGGTGTGAATATGATAGTTCCTGACATTGTGTTGCAAGAATATTCGTACAATTTGTAGGTGCCAACATCTTTATCAGTGCACGTTTTCTCCGACTCCTTTTTCATTTCTCCGTTTTCCAAACTAGATAAATATGCCATACGACTTTTTGTAAAGTCACGTACTAAAATTATTTTCAGAACATTCATAATTGCAAAGTTCCCTCTTGTCACGATAACAGCAGCAAAGATCTGTAAAAAGACCGAATTATATTTTACGTTTCGTGGGCTTTAGCCCATGTTGATTTTATCATATGGATGACATGCGCGCGTGCATGAATTTTAGTCCGTTTAAAATAAACAAAGCAACAACTGAAAAATTTGTAAATATATGCCAAAGATTGCAAAACAATATTGGAGAACGACACTATGCCAAAATCAATTCCAAAGGACGCTCGCATCAGTTTTGAGGCTCCCAGAGTTTGTCATCCACATAATCATGAAGTTAAAAGACACATTTTCTAGCTCCATGATATAATCAAATCAACATGGCCTTAGATAAAAGAATTAAGTTTTACTTACGGTATCGTATTCCGACCATGTATATCAAAGACAGTTTAATTTGCACTGTATAGAAAAACTAAGGACCAACACAAATGAATGGAATTTGATCGTTGATTACATATAATCACTTATAGTTTTTTTTTACTCTAAAAGAAAACGTCTAGTTAGTAGACCTAATTGAAATATGCTAAATAAAAAAGGATCAGTTTGGTACCAAAGAAACGCAAGTATGCAGGTTCCAGTGTGCTGGAGGATAATTTGAATTTGAACAGAGACGAGTTATGTTGTCAATGACTGTGTAGGTACTATACCAGTAAAACAAACCGGGTTTGCCAACCCTGCAACAGGAAGCACGGGAGAAGGGGTACTATAATTGCGATCTCCGTGGAGGCGGTTAGTACAGCCCCTATAAAAGCAGGAGCGCCTAGCTAGTCCTGATTTACAAGGCCATTAACCAACTGGTAATAAGTTTGTACTCACACAAAAGCACATCACAAAAAGTATAAACATAACAGGGGCCACCTTTTCCGCTACAGTACACTCAGACCTAAAGTAAACACGTAAATACAGTTTCTGTCCCATTGATTACGGAATGGAACGCTCTACCTACGTACCTATTACACAGCCATTTGTTGATACATTCACGTCCCAGTACGCAACAAAATTTGCATGAAAATCTAGACACTTCCATCCGCTTTATTTCGAACACCCCAATAAAGCCCCGCCCTGTCACACATAGCGGAATTTGACCTCCCGAACGCTCACTAAACCATGGTTAGGTGTGGGTCGGCTGGCGTTCGGCAGAGTCGCGGCTACGGTTAGACTGCGCCAGCCGAATGTTTAAAATGTTTAAAACTTCGGGAGTGTTCGGGATTGTCGGCTTGGTTGGCTAGAGTTCGGCACATATTCGGCTAGTGTTCGCGAGTAGGTCATCAGTGATCGGCGCGTGTTCGGCGGTAAAATGTGGAGACGAACGTGTGCCAACCTACACAAGAGTCCGGCCCTCCTAACCCTCTGCCAAACGTGTCGAATGCTTCCAGATTGCGTGCCGAATCACCCCGAATTTCGGAGAAACACTAGCCTAACGCCAGCTGACCTTCCCCCGACCCTCCCAGCTCATTTAATAGCGGACCAGGTTCTTACTCAGCCCTATAAATTCATCAGACTATGAATGAATAAGTCATTGCATGAGTTCGTTGGCAGAAAGAGGCGACACCATACCCAAGAAGAAGGCAAGTTCCAGGAAAGTTCGAAAATACTACAAATTTCAACTTTCACTGTATAACATGATTGTACGTAGTAGGCCCCTATTCGGGATTCGGGAGTAGGAAAATGTTCAAAGAGATACTTAAGTAGCCCCGTTCCCATTATGCTGAATATTCTGAATACCCTATAAGTACATAGGTTACGTTTTATCTTATTTGTTTACTATCTAATATTATCCTATTGTTAAGTAATATTAATGTATACGTAATTGTTGTGAATTTTTAAATGAAATCTGTATTAGTCTAGTGCATAAGCGATATTACGTAAATGCTGAGCAATACATTTTATTTGTGAGTACACTAGTTGACTAGTAATTGTAAAGGCTGCTTAATGCAGCCTCTAGCCTAGGCTGCAAAAAAGCTTTCAAATGGCTGTATTATGTATGTCTTTGCAAGAATAAACCATTCATATATAGGAGGGATTAGGACGTCTTCGGTTAGTAGTCGGGATAGTTGAAAGTAGGTTGCCAGAATTCGGCGATGGTTCGGGGTTAGTTCGGGAAATGGTTCTGAAATGGTTAGGACGTGATCGGCGCTAAACTTAGCCGTGGCCTGATAAATCTGGCCATTTTGCTCCCTAACACCAGCCGACCTGTAGTCGGTTGGTGTTCGGAAACTCAGTTCGGGAGAGGGTCGTGGATGTGTAACAGGGGCTTAACGTTGTAACTATATTTAACGGTTGGGTGTTTGAACGTATGACTCAAACTGACAGATAAATGTGTGTATTAATTTGCAATCTCTCGTTAGATACGATTTTTCTCATGAAATAAGAAAAACAGAAGGATATGCACATATAAACTCAGTTAACAACATTTACCAAGTTTATTTTTGCAACAATACAATAAAGAAGGAATCCACCCAAATTACATGTACTTGACACATTTCTCTTTGATGAACTTTTCTACAAACGTGCAAAACAATTAAGTACTCATGCAGTGTTTCATTAACTGAAGTTAGCCCCCTTCCATATACTCTTTTAGCAATACCATAAAACGTCTCTTCTTTTTTGTGTGAAGTACGGAATAATTGACCATCATTTTTAACGCATAAAAAAACCACAAGGAGGTTTGGAAATGCTTTACAAATAGTCGTCTTTTTCTGATAGGAATTACAAAAAAATTATTTCAACTTCTTTATTTGGGAATATTCTTACTTGTTCAAATAGCGTAAGTGGTTTCATAATCAGTTGAGCTGTATGGACAGCACATACATAGGAATGGTGATTCTTTGGGAAAGTGTATACTTGATGGTAACCCGCACGTAAGCCTTACACTGGCAAAACATGCCGTCTACCTTTCCTGGGTTAGATTTAAAGATAATCACAGATTGCTTCAAAAGGATGATATATTTAATTTCTTCACAACTATATTAGGTACTAGAATTTTTTATTTTGCTTGAAACGTTAAGAGTTAAGAGTCTTTCATATGTAGATTTCAATAGATTGTAATAGCCATTCTATCATTCCTTTCCAATGAAATAACTTTATGATGGCTTGCATTTAAGTCCGAATCGCTTTTTGGGGGTCTCTTTAGGTTCAAGTTCGGGTTCATGTGCCAATGCCCTGTCATAAGCAGCATCGAGAAGATTGATTAGGAAAATTAGGAGGTTCCTGTCAATATCTTCATTTGGCAAAAACTTTTTTCTTGCATCTATGGCACAACCTTCATCTTTTCCCTCAATTTTCGCATGGTAGAGGGTCAGCTCTGTGGTCCTCTGCTCGTTGCCCTCTAGGCTGAGTAGACTCTGCGCCGTCTTCTTGGTGTCGTTGTACTTGCGCTGGTTGTCCTTGGCTTTGTCCTTCTTGCTCAAGACCAGGAACACCGGTATATCTATAGAGAAACAAGTACGTAGTAAAATTATATCTTTATCTGACTCCAAGTAAAACAATGCATGCAGGTTCCAGACAACACAAATCTACCCCCAAAAGGGAGGTCTGTATTCATGCCCTTTTAAAAAAACAATTCTATTGATTTATGGGTTCGATTAATGAATATCAATTAATGTATTGCCAAATTTTGCGACCAGATCTTTATCATATCATATGGGTTTCAAATCAGGCGGACCAATGCAAGGTAATATGTTGATTTATTTGCAAAAGCGTGTCCAACGGCTTGCAATGTAACGTACATGAATAGGTAAAAATGTATCTAAATAGGTAAAAATGTCTAGTCTATCGATATATAGCATTTTATGTACCAAAAGTGACGTCAGTTTACATAATAAACTATATAAAACAATTGATACTCACTCCTGCCTTTGTTATGGTGAGAAGCAGTCGTCTCCCGAACCAGTTCCAGCAAGTTTTCTGGGGCCATTTCGTCACACGCACAAACGAACAGGAGCCTGTTGAACCTGTTGTCTTCGTTCACCTTCGGAAACTTTTCTTGGAGATCTTTGATTGAAATCAGTCCTCCCTTCTTTCTGAGAACGTCGAATACATTTGTCTTATCTTCAACTTTTCCATCTAAAGTGAGGCCGATAAACTCCCCATAGACCTCATCTGCTGTATTCTCCATACCAGCACAGTCCCAAAAGTAAAGCTTCTTGTCGTAGTTTTCCACCTTCTCTGTCATGAACTGGTCTTCGAACATGGGGACCTTGTCAAGGCGCAGAGTGAGGTTTTGTACACCTCCCTGCCCAAATGAAGTCAACTCACTCCATTTCCCCGCAAGAGCCATGTTCATGGAATTTATCAGCGTTGATTTGCATGAGCCAGGGCGACCTACAACTAATACGTTAAAGTCCTCACTTCTTTTTTTGAGAAGTTGACGAACTTCCACTCGCAGTTCTGAAACTGTCGGAATATTCATCTCAGGACTTTTCATCTTTGAATCAGAGTCGGCCATTTTTGCTTTAGATTGGGGGACTGGCGCTGGTATTGTCTGGAGAAATGCCGTGGGCGTCATCTTAGGCCTTCTCATCTCAATGTCTGCAACCATCAAAATAGAGTGCACTGTTAGCAGTGTGTACCTTTTAACATACCTTTGTCATTGATGTATTGTATATGTAAGTCTTTGAATTTTTATGACTATCACTCTCCTTTCAGTTATGAAGGATGACAGAAACCGTTTCTACAAAGGAAGTATTTTACTCATGCCGCACAAGTCCGAACCATCTCCTGTACTCAAATAACTTTCAGGTATGCTCACCTTCTGCTTTGAAATACTCCGTCCATTGTCGGTACTGCTCTTCCAGCATGATGACCCCCACCACCAAGTCTTCCCCGGCAAGTGTTCGCATCTCGTCAGTGATGAGACAGTCGGTGAGGTTACAACTAAGCTGTCCAGACTTGTAGTCTGTCCAGAACGTATCTAAAGTTGTCAAATTGTGAGGAATAAAATGAAGAATGGTGTAGCCTATTTTGACCTCAACAATGTGAAAGCTTGACTGATAGTAACAGTCTAGCATTTCTTCTGTCTTTCGTTCTATCTTCTCCTTTGAAAGAAGACCTTCTGCTTTCTTCAATAATGTCAAATGCTGCCCCAAAACCTTCCCTCGCTTTTCCCATTGAGCCATTTCTAGTTCCAGCTGCTTCGCCTTTTTCTCATTGAGTTTTTCTTCTATCCCCTGTTCGTCACTGACCCCTGCCGCATGTGTGCCTTGGCTGGTTTCGTCATCTGAGGAGCCGGAATCACCCCTGGATGATAGCGGTGTTAGATACCAAAGCGTTTGGATCGCTGTAGGTAAAGAAAAAGACAGCAACACTCATCAAACTGATTTCTAGAAAAAATCATTCAATGTTTTTCGGTTGTTGCTTTTGACAAAAACAATAAAACACAATCCTTTTCTGACGTATTCCAGAGGTTGCAAAATATTGCCCCGGAAAAACATTTTCCATACTGTAACTGTCAATTCATTCATTCATTATATCATTTTCTGAATATTTATACTCTTGCTTAAAACTATATAACAAACCTGCAGGCTGAGGTGTGCTACGTCCCACAGTAGAAAGTCGTTGGACGACTTCTGCAGCGATGTTTGTCAGTTCGTCAGTTACATGGTCTCTCTGTACGCGTCTTGCACTCATCTGTTTCAGTGTGGGAGAGTACTTCCCGACTAACTCACTAAAGGCCTTGAAGCTGTCGTCATTAGCATCAACCCATATGGGGAATATACGTTTGTTGTTTTTCAGGCACGTTTCAAACTCCAGTTTAGGCCAGTAGGGTTTGTTGAGGAATGATGTACTGACGACAACGACAGCGAGTTCCAAACTTTTACTCGATAAGGTCGAAATTATTCTGTCCCGAATGACTTCACCGGGTTTGATGGAAACATCATCGAAAAAAATATCCTTTTCGGCCAACCCTTGTTGCTGCAGCGTGGTGACCAATGGACGCACAAATGATTCTTTGTCTTCTCCTGCATGGATGATGAATACACGTGGCTCTGGGAACAGGATAAAAACAACTTGACACATATATGTGACCTTCTAAAAGGCACTGAGAGATTCATTCATTTATTCATATCTCAGGTGAATGAGGATACTTGCTCGCCGAACTTTCAGCGCAAATACCGAAGAACGAATCAGGTGAGCCATATTACACTTGAAGCAGCACGGCGGCAGAACGTACTACAGCATGCGTGAAAGCCGCAATGTACTGTGCATAGCACTTCGGTAGAATGTCTCGTATATGGTAGTATTCGCACATATAAGGTTAATATCCCGTCTGTAGTTATCTCCATGACATGTCATGGAGGTTATATTTTCAGTTGCGTTTATCTGTCTGTCCGTCTGTCTGTTGGTCAACAAGATAACTCAAGAACGCCTGGATGGATCGGTTTCATACTTGGTGTGTTGGTAGGGTGTGACGAAAACTGGAAATGATTAGATTTTTGGCCCCCTAGTGGCTTCCTTTGGTACTGCAGCGCAACTTCCGGTTTTGATATCTCGCGATCTGGACAAGCTAGGGTCGTGAAATTTGGATGGAAGGTAGCTTTTGTGCTCGGGAAGAAGTCACGTGAGTTTGGGCCCCCTAGCAGCTTGTTCTGGAACTGCAGGATGGTTTCTTTGAAAATCTTCGAGAGAGGATAACTGAACAACCGCTTGATGGATCGTCATGATTTTTGGTATGTAGGTAGCTTAAGTGACGCTTGATATAATCATAATAAAATTATGCAAATCAGGATCTAATTTGCATAATTAATGAGGACATTCTATAAATCTGCTGTATTTCATATTAGGGCTATAAAACTCTATAGACATGTGTTATTGAGAACGACAAGGTCATTGGTAGATATCGATTATGTAAATGAAGACCTAATTTGCATAATTGATGGAAAATTGGTGCAATTTTATGGTGGTAACTGCTGGGAATTTAATACTTGCAATAATTGGAAGTTCAGTGAAGGTGAACATCACTAAACATAATTTATTTAAATCAGGACCTCATTTGCATAATTTATGAGGAAACGCTAGAATAGCCTTATTTCTTAAGATAACCCTGTCATTGGGTGGAGAGTATGATCAACTGATACAATATATGCAAATGGCCTCGTATAATTTGAATATTTGCAGTGAAAAATGTATAATTAGTCAGCTTGGAAGGCAAACATGAGTTGGCAAAGATATGTCGGGGGCCGTGCTTGCATATAACCAACAACATCATACGTTGTCCATGCCAAATGATAAGGATTTCACGTTGCATGTTAGGCCACACTGATTTAATTTTATGGATGACATCCTCTGGGGACCACAAAACTAATGCGAGAGGGCGAAAAAAAAAATCCAGCCAAAAAAAAAAATAGCTGCTTAACCACAGGAATACAAAGCCGGTAATGCGGATTGAACCACAGGACACAGTGACTGCATCAAATAAACAAGTTTTTATTTGCAGGAGGTAGATGTAGATCATCTTATTCTGGTCTCATCCTCCTTCACAGCTTCCTCCTTTGCAGCTTCCTCCTTCGCAGCTTCCTCCTTCGCAGTTTTCTTTCCCTACAGAAAAACGTAAAAGGTAGATATATACATTATATATACAGTATATAGTTTATACTTTATACCCTGTAGAAGTGCATACAACAAGGGGATTGAATAGATGAAATGTAAAAGGTAGAGCAGAAACAGTACCCACCTGAAAGTTAGTGGTCCATCTTCTTCCTCTCTAGATCTCTTCCTCTTCAGCTTTCTCTTCACTCTTGTACGCTCTCCAACACCAGCTTTGCACACCTACAGAAAAATGACATGGTATTCAAAATTGATTTACTTGGAATGTATGTTTCCAAATAAAATTGAAGTACAGTGTATTGTAAGTTACAACATTACTAATGTAGGTGAGAATGAATGTACAATTAAAACATGAGGTACACAATAATATTTAACCTACATGGCACACTGGGTGAAAGCACTGAAACTCTTGCAGTTTCTCTGGAGGGATGGGAAGCGTGTTTGTTTCCCCACACATCCAGCAGACCAGTGGCAGAATGGTCAGCGCCCTAGACTTGACTTGCGCAGAGTAGTAATACACCTGGTGCACTACATGAAAGAGCCCTGCACAAAACGGATGTGAAACAGAGGAATAAAAATCATTTTTCAAAGAGGAAATTTTGTGAAAATTTGCGAGAGCTCAATATTTTAAAAAAAAACACCCAACAGAAAATCAACAAAAACTTAGCATGAGAAATGCATCTTGTTGGAAATTTTCCATATGATTACAACATTATAATCTACATACAACTACTGTAAATCATTAACAACTTATTTTGTCTGTATCATAACACGTGTACGCGCCCCGCTGCGTTCCCAGATTCTCGATCAAAATCAGAAAAACAAAACAAACAAAAAAAATAACTGAACTATTCTTACCTCAAAAGCTGACTTCTGTTGACAATCTTCGGCTTTAGTTGTTGAAGGCCAGTTTTGTCAACAACAATACGTACAAAACAGCCGAACTGAAAAATGGCATGGCCTGACCCACTTAAAGGCCACCTCAACTCCTCTCCCATTTCTCTCATCGTTGTGGCCGCTCTGGAAAAGACGTCTGTCCGGGCGATACTCGCTGGCTACCACAAGTCGCTCGTACTAGCTGGGCAAACGTTACATCCCCCTCGCCAATGTCGATGGCATACCATTCGACAACAACGCCTCCAGTTTTCTTCTGCACTTTGACGTAATTTTTGAGGAGGACGCTGACGCCATATTGCAAACTTCCCGGTTTACGTTGTTATTGTAGCTAGTACGCATGTGCAAAAGGTTCATTTACGACAAAATTGACGTTTTGCGGTAGTACAAAAGAAGTTGCCTGAGGCTATTGACAGGATCGTCCTGTCAACAGCAGGAAATACTGCACTGCTGACAGGATCGTCCTGTCAATAGCAGAAAATACTGCACTGCTGACAGGACGATCCTGTCAATAGCAGAAAATATTGCACTGCTGACAGGACGATCCTGTAAATAACAGGAAATACTGCATTGCTGACAGGAGCGTCCTGTCAGCAGTGCCATTTTTGACACTGTTGACAGGATCGTCCTGTCAGCAGTGCCATTTTTGGCACTATTGACAGGATTTTTTAAATCTTCCATTTTGGGCTCTATTGACATGATTTCTTCTTTGTTTTCATTTGTTTAACCAGTCAGAAGGCATATGCTACTGTACTGCAGATTAGGCGTTTCACGATGGCGGCTATCATCACGTTAACAGTTATCAATACAGAGTACTCCAGCAGATATATGTCAAAACTAGACATGTTCAAAATATAAATACAAGCGAATTTCATGCATAAGCTGTCTGAAATACGAAGGCAGTTACATAAGATGAAGACAATAAAAAAGACAAAAAGAAGTTGATCTCTATCCATTATTTATTCTTTCAACAACTTCGAAATCAAATGGAACAAATCCAGGAAAATACCGCTGGTGTGGCATTTCAGCTAGCCGGTCATTCCCGCGGCGCCGGCTGTAACAGGCCTGGGCTGTAATGGCTAGCGCTTACTGTCGCCCCGACTAGCCTCTACCAGGCACCGTGGATCGCTGGAAAAATAATAGAAATTGGCCGAAATAAAGGGAATATATACCAAGGGAGTTAGCCGGCCAGAGAAGCTCCAATTGGCGACCTTGGTATATATTCCCTTTATTTCGGCCAATTTCTACTATTTTTCCAGCGATCCACGGTGCCTGGTAGAGGCTAGTCGGGGCGACAGGCACGCACTGCCGCCGCATTGCTTACGGGAGGCCAGGCGCGCGCTACCGAGCGGGGGATCAATGTATGCACGACGATCTGCAGGGGCCGCAGCGCAGGATCGTAAAAAATGGCCTAATAGCATACATAATAACACCTACATAAGACCTACACGAACCAGCGCCCACCCCAAAATTTCCAGTATGAAATAAAAATCCAAAATTTTATCGATCCTGTCAATAGTAGAATAATTTGCACTGCTGACAGGAAAAATCCTGTCAGCAGTGCAAATTATTCTACCATTGACAGGACGATCCTGTCAGCAGTGCAATATTTTCTGCTATTGACAGGACGATCCTGTCAGCAGTGCAGTATTTTCTGCTATTGACAGGACGATCCTGTCAGCAGTGCAGTATTTTCTGCTATTGACAGGACGATCCTGTCAGCAGTGCAATATTTTCTGCTATTGACAGGACGATCCTGTCAATAGCCACAGGCAAAGAAGTTTTACGATAAGCCGCCCTTTTGCGGCATTCATGAGTCGGCAGTCTGTACCGAGTTCCAGCCGAGTTCCGGAGTTCCGTGAAGCCTCAAAAGACATGATTTTTTTTTTTTGGAGAACAAGCGAAAATCAATGCGCGCGCGGATGCCATCCATAAAATTAAATCAGTGTGGCCTTACTAGGTAGAATAAAAATTTTGCTAATGAGCAGGATTGTAAATGTAAGCCATTTACAGGTGATCATCACCATGCATAAGATATACCGAAAGCATTAAACATATCATGGAGGTATGAGATTGTCGAACTCTAGTTTTCAAATATTATGTCGAAAAAACATATCGTCTCCAAAGGCGGAATTCTAAATAGGGGTTTCGTGCTGGGGCAGTACGTTCTGCCGACATGCCGCTGAATGTTCTGAACATCAATATCCATTATTGTTTATATCAAAATATGAAACTTGCTAATGCAATTGGACTGTCCTTAGCTAGCTGAACATACATAAACACAAATAACGTTACCTCTTGGGGGTGCTTGCTGACTTTCATCGTTCAAGATCCGTGCCAAATGTGGGTAACCACTGTCATTCAGAGCTTCGCGAAACACCGAGAATGCATGCGGTCCTTTGGTAGGAAGAATGTCGAGTAAAGCTTTTACTTGGTCTCCACGTGATTGTCGCTTCTCAATCTCGTCAAGATTCTCACCATTCAGGATTCCGCTGTCTAGAAGACGTCTCCGAATGTCCCTAAACCGCAGATCACTTGATATTTCCAGTCGTTTGGCACTAAGAAGGGCTCTGTGCCTTTCCTCCATGACTCAAAGATCTGTGATTAAAGATCAGTGTCCGTGCATTAGTGTCCGTAATTCATGAACATTTGTATATTCTACTTTGCTGATAGTTCAATCAGTTTACTCAAAACTTTGCTGTTCATCACATACATGTCTCTATTAAGGACTCGTGGTTCCATTTTTCACTCAGAAACACCCCCAACGGATAAAGAAAGGTTAAGAATTAGTTTGTGTTTACTTTCAATTCCCAAATACCCCCTCCCCACCCATATTCTTTCATTGAATTAACTACGATGGTGATACTTTAGCTCGCCCCGCGACGTTACTTCTACTTGAGGAAAATTATAATTAGTCTTGGAATATACTCAGCATAGGCTGGTATGTAATTGCAATGTATGTTACACCCTTCTTGAGGTACTTAGAGTATTTTTTTCACGTGAGCAGAAGGTCCGTTGCAGTTACCTGACTTGCCTCCATGACATGTCATGGAGGTTATATTTTCAGTTGCGTTTGTCTGTTTGTTGGTCAAGAAAATAACGCAAGAACGGCTGGCTGGATTGGTTTTATACTCGGTACGTTAGTAGGGTGTGAGGTAAACTGGAAATAATTAGATTTTGGGGCCCCAGTGGCTTCCCTTGGTACTGCAGCGTAACTTCCGGTTCTGATATCTCGCGTTCCGGACATGCTAGAGTCTTGAGTTTTGGATGGTAGCTCTTGTGCTCGGAAAAAAGTCACGTGGGTTTGGGCCCCCTAAGGTCGATTTGTCTAAAAATCTTCAAGAGAGGATAGCTAAAAACTGGTTTTTGATTTTTTGATATGAAGTTTGCTGAATTGATGCTTAGCATACCTAATTCAAAATTATGCAAATCAGGATCAAATTTGCATTATTAATGAGGATATTTTATATATCTGGTGTGTTCCAAATTAAGGCTATTATGGTCTCGGACCGGAGTTTTTTTTCACGATTTTGGAGCCGGTGGACACCCACAGACCAAAGGGCTACAACTCCGCCAAGAAAAGTACGCCGGGAAATCTCATTACATCAGTCAACGGAGGTTTCCAGCCGGCTTCCGATAGAATTTTGGTTATTGTCCGTCGAAAATATAGTTTTTTTGCAGTTTTTTCAACGGACCTGCTTGGAAAAAACGAACTTTCCCAGGCTAACGGCTTATATGCTGAAATAGCTTACTAATTCCTGTTTCTGAAAAGACGGGAAAAATATAAGTTGTTGCGATAAGTTTTTCGCAAAATCCGGTTACGCGAATGCCTTGAAATTCCACATAGAACGCGGTTATTTGGGTCATCAGGCGACAAACCGCATCACCCTTGCTCGCGGACTAATACAAAAAAACGCTTCGCTGGCCGTCTAACTTCACCACGCCGAAAAACACTACAATCCCAAGGGTTTTTGAACAATTCAAGACCTACTTGAAAATCTACAACGATCGCCGAGCTATGGGGAGCCAAACCTGGGTTACGGGTTACCGAGTAGAACTGTTTTAGAGTAGACATAATTTGCATAAGCAATGTGAAATTGCTACAATCTAATAGTGGGATAGTGTTCCATGATTGGCAGTTAAGTGAAGGTGAACATCTCTAAACACAATTTATTCAAATCAGGACCGTATTTTACATAATTTATGAGGAAAAGCTAGAGTAGACTTTTTCTTAGTTAAGATGATCCTGGCTTTTGGTGGAAAACATGATCAACTGATATAATATATGCAAATGGGGCTGTTATAATTTGGATAATTGCAGTGAAATGTGTAACAAGTCAGTTTGGACGGTTAACATGATTTGCCAAAGGTATGTTAGAGGTCGTGCTTGCAACAGTATCATACCTTGCCCATGCCAAAATTGATAGGGAATTCACAAGTGTATGTGTTGCATGTCACTAGGCAGGGGTCATGTGAATAATTTACTTAAATATTTTGCTAATGAGCAGGATTGTAAATGTAAATTATTTACAGGCGGTCATCACCATGCATAAGATTTACGACAGCACTAAACATGTCATGGAGGTATGAGATCGCCGAACTCTAGTTTGATATTGCTACTCTGTATTTACACACTGTGTCCAACTTCTAACCAACTTCTACACCTAAAATATTGTAATCGTATTTCTACAGACCATTCCATGTTCACTTTCTATGGTACTCACAATCATCTAGACTAGAAGAGCTCTAAAACCGTCATAATTTTCTGTTCGGAGGGTCACTTCTATTTTACTTCCGCATTCACCGCATTAATTTGTCGGTTAAATCTAAAACATCGAAAGGAGTTAGACATGTATAGCCAGTGTCAGGTGACAGTACATTGAACACAGATCAGAGTAGGCTATACTTTCTTACCTCGATATTTCATGACTTTCCTTGGTGAGAGAATTTATTGTACATGGGACTCGACAGGCGTAACCTGAGAACAGGCAAGAAACTTCTCCTCAAAACGAGGCTGCGCGGAGATACTAACTGAATCCCATAACACCCCGCGCGGGCAACTGTTTCGGGCTGTTTCACTACTGTCCAAGCAGAAGTTGATGGGAAGATCGTTACCTTTGTATATATATGGCCCTTTTTTGTCGCTACCCCCTTGGCTCGCTCTGGCTAATGGATCCTCTCTGGACAATTTGATACTGTCTTTTCGCCACCCCAGACGATAACGTATTAAAAGGTAGAAATTGGAGTACATGCACGAGGTCATCAGAGAAGAAGATTCAATATTTTTTACAGATATGTTGGTTCCTAGTGCCACAGCAATGTGGTTCGATTTTAGTACATGCATGCAAGAAAAGGGTAATTTGAACTCCCTCTAGTTTTGAATCTTTTTCATGATGGCTACATTGTATCTTAATGCCACCGAAATTGTATTTGCTTTTCCAGCGGCTATTTATTTATATCACACTCACTACTCATGGAACCTGGTAGTGGCGTAATATTCCCGAGTGGTGATCTTTATTCTCTTGCCCTTTTGTACTTTCACCGACGTATGAATGACACAATCTTACGACAGTATCTAGACAATCTGCCACGTCTTGAGTTGGCCATTTCTGAATGGCTTCAGTGTTGAATTTTGCCCTAATGATATTTACAAATCTGTCATCTCAGCATGATGAACCATTCCATTGTTCTGCAGTACCCTCCCGTAGTGTTGAGATTGACAACATTTATCATACCGCATTTACCAGCAAAGACCTAGACGATAAACAAAGTCTAAATTCGTCTGGGATTCGTGGGATACTCAAACATGAACGACCTCCTGCTAGATAACACCAGGCTATACAATTTAGCTAATCACTGATAGCAGTTATAGCGGTTCCCAACAGTTGAAATGACAACTCAGATAACATAAACGTGCAGTAAGCAAATTATTATTGACACACTGGGCTTACAAAAAGTCATGACATCAAACGTCAGCAATTCTAATACAAAAGAGTAAAATTCAGTGAGTTAAAACTATTATCATGTTCGGATGTTGTGTTTAAACTTTTTTTGGGTTCATTGTAAGCATTGAGTGTGTGTGTCTTTTCAACTAGAAGCGATCGATCGGGTACCTCACTACATCACAGCTGTCGGGGTTCCCGACGGTGTGTTGATAACAAGAATGTGATTAGCAGTTTGCTATTGACACAGACTAAAAGAGTTCACCGGTAGGGTAATTTTTGTGTCAGTACATCAAAGGCCTATCAATGTTTGTCACTGATATGGCGGACTAAACGTGGTGCTCAATCGATATCTGTGTGCGCGGCACTTTGATCAAAGAAGACAAACAACAGTGAATGACGCATTTCAGGTACGCCATTATCAAACACAGATACATTGGTAAATCCCGTTATACGGTACAACGGAAGACTGGGAGCACGCAATCCTTGACCTTTGAGATGCAAAATTTTGTTGACGGGATAATTCTGCAAAGTATATCAATCTAATCCTTTTTACATCAAGTAATTCGCTCTACAAGGAACATGTAGTCATAATCCACTTTTGCAAATCATTGTTCAATGTACACTGCTTTAAACAAAAAAAGTGAAATAAACAAAACAGTTGTTCATTTCTAGGTAAACTAATCTATAGCTAGCTACCAGTTTAGGTGCCACGCAATTCGCCTCTCTGTCGTTTCTTATGTGAAAGATGTATTCTAACTCCTTGCATTTCCTGTCAAGTCGAGATGTTCTTGCAATTGAATATACTAGATATGAATATTACTTTCCGATAACAAAGTCACTATACATGAACAATCTAAGGTGGCAGCGCACTGGGCATAACTCCTTCTCAACGTATTAATTTTAGGGCGTAGCATTTGAACACATTTTAATGTGCTATATACAGGTCTCAGACATAAATGATAAATTTCTCATCATTTTTCTCTCTTTTTTCCTCGAGAGACCTCAAGGCAAATAAATTATTGATAAATTAATCTATTATCCTACCTATGTGTCGAGGTTTTTCAATATGTAAGACCAATTCATTGATTATAGTTTATAATAGTTGTGCCAGTTTTGCACATCATGTCCACATAAACATGGAAGGACAAGTTATTTATAAAGTCAAACTTCGGCTATGTCACCATCGCCATAAATCATGTTGGTCAAATATTCAAAAGTTGAAGGAGATTGATTAAATTAATCTCACCTTAAACTTCATCAGTAATAATGAAATAGGACAACCTTTTCACGTTGTACAGTGCGAAGGTAAAAATAAGTATTTTGTCACACGAGAGCTGGTATACTATTAGATCTACACACCTATGTAATTGGAGATGATTGAGATGTTAAACTTCATAAACATGCATTCTTAGATACTTTTAGTTCTAGTGCAAAGAAAGAGGTACATCCAAGTCAAGTTAATGTGGGTGATATGACAGAATTTTAAGTCACGTTTTCGGTATTTGCAAATTTGCTAAGAAGATTTGCGAAGATACCAGTGCTTTGTTTCCGTGCAGCATTTTGAGTGATCTCCTGATTTGTTGGACATTGGACCGTGCCTTCATTTGAGGGCTGCTTCATTGAATCATCTGGCGGTCGTTGGATCCACTCTAACACTGCTTTCTTCTGGCTTTCATTCAATTTACTTTCCATACTTAGAAATCGACCACTCGCTGCTATTTCTCTTAGCTTAGGTTGATAGCACAGGAAAGCTGTGCTAAAGTGCTTCTTGTCGTAAAGGTCACTGCCATCGATGTCGCGATGACCACAGAGTAAAAGAAGCACCCCTGGAAAAAGGAGACAGCAAATGTAATTATAGGTGAACTAACCGTGGTGGACTGTACTGTTGTACTGTAATTAATATTAAAATGTTTATCTCAGTCTGTTCTTTGTTATGTAAAACTACTATCGAAAACTTAAACTTCAAAACTATTATCCAAAACTACATGTATTATTGAAAGCTTCAAATATTTCGTAATAATATTGTTATTAGTAAAAATAGACACTGTCGTCTTTTTGGGGGTGATTGTAAAGTTTTCGTGTAAAGTTTAACCCAAAGTGAATGTAATTGGCAACAAATCTTGCCTAACTCTTTTTTTAAATTGCAAATGTTTGCTGCATTTACAAACACTTGACGAAGTACCACTGCGTTGACTTTATCTATAGAATTTAACTTTGAAAGGTACCATCTTTTCCACAAATGTCCTCAGCTGGGCGGACGATTTGACTTGCTTCGTCGGATTCCGTGTCGTGTAAGATGATGTTTCTTGCACTTTTGTCGACACAGCATAAGACTTTGCAGGGCCAGTTGGTACTGAGCTTCTCTCTCAGGAGTTCTTCGTGACGTCTTGATGGCGCGTGGAATGGCTCTATGTCAAGTTCCAGGCCATCAACAACGCCCTTTATAAGCTTGTTGCCTGCTTCTAGGGTTGACTCATTGCGAGCTGCGAGGTATATCCTTAACTGGGAATATATATATATATATATATATATATATATATATATATATATATATATATATATATATATATATATATATATATATATATATATAGATAGATAGATAGATAGATAGATAGGTAGATATATATATATATATATATAGAGAGAGAGAGAGAGAGAGAGAGATAGAGATAGATATATATAGATAGATATAGGTATATTCAAATAGATATATATATTCAAATAGACAGATATATACTTAGATAGATGCTTGTAACTCTATATATTTTATAAATAACAGACACAGCAGGGCATGAAATAAATAAATCTCTAGATAGATAGTTAAATAGATAGACTGCAAAAGAGTATGCACTGGTCTGGCAATGTTAACACATTATGAAGTGAGGTTTATAACATTGGATGTACTTACCCTTTTATTTATTGTTCCTGTTGCTAAAATAAACGGAAGAATAGTTTCAGAACAGTAAAAGTTTTGTTATATAGTAGCGTACAGTGTCAGTGTATGGTTGCTTCTACGTGTTGGTCTTCATTGGAAAAGACAAGACATGCTGGATAATGTTATGCTAGGTGATACCCCACAAAGTCCTTCACATTAGCAATCAGAGAACAGAACAGTACACCTATATAAGTTGCAGAGCCTGCTGAATTCTAATCATGAAACAAACCTTGAAATAAAGGTACTGCTTGTGCAAATGTTAAAATTCACGAAAACGCCTAAAATATAGAACGTTACATCGGTGTTTTGGTTCCCTTAGTTTAGCTACGGAAGTTTTGCCTGCTGGCAATGAAATAATGGCTATTATACGGATACATATTGAAAATATCCTACCTCTGATGATTATACCAAGGACGTGATGAAGAAACTTCATATCGCTGAATGAACTGATAGAACTTCTGTGACTTTTGTTTTCGTCAAGAACTGACACTGGAAGAGAAGCGTACGGTGTATCATCGCGACGAAAGTGCTCCACAATGGCACGCTCGTCGTCGCCTTCCGGTGTGAATATGATAGTTCCTGACAATGTGTTGCAAGAATACTCGTACAATTTGTAGTCGCCAATTCTATCAATGTTATTCGTTTCCTCCGACATTTTCATCATTTCTCCATTTTCCAAACTAGATAAAAATGCAGTACTACTTTCTGTAAAGTCACGTACTAAAATTATTTTCAGAACATTCATAATTGTGAAGTTCTCTCTTGTCACGGTAACTGCAGCAACGATCTGTAAAACACGAATTGATATTTTACGTTTTGTGGACCATATTGATTTGATTATATGGATGACATCAGAGCGCGCGCGCGCATGAATTTTCGGCCGTTTTCAAAAAAGTTTTCTACCATACTGTAAATCGTACAAAGCAAAATTAGCAAATATATGCCGAATATTACAAAAAATAACATATTGGAGAACGATACTAATGCCAAAATCAATTCCAAAGGAAAAGAAGACTGTGAAGAAATGAAAATAAAGTGTGTCACAGTTGTAAAACTAGAGATCCTAAATTGCTTGAATTATATCTGTTGATCATATTCTACACCAAAGGACAGTCTTATCTTAACGAAGAATGTCGTAATATTTAGCATTTCCTCATAAATTATGCAAATGAGGTCGTTATTTGAATATGTTATGTTCACCTTGAAATTCCAGGCAGTTACCACTTTGGAATTATAAATTTTTTTCATTAATTATGCAAATAAGATCTTCATTTGCATAATCGATATTTGCCTGTGTTTCTCTCGTTCTTAATTACTTATGTCACAAGCTTGAATGGTCCTATCATGGAATGGAGCTGATTTACAGAATTTCCTAGGGGGCTCAAACTTTCATCGACATATGAAGGACACAATCTTACGACAGTATCTAGAAAATCTGCCACGTCTTGAATTAGCCATTTTTAATGGGTTCAGTGACTTTTGCCTTAACGATATTTACCAATCTGTCATTTCGGCTTGATGGATCATTCCATTGTTCTGCTGTGCCCTCCCGTAGCGTTGAATAATAAAACGTCAGCTATTATCATACGGCAAAGAATGCAATTCAATGATTTAAAACTATTAGCTTGTTCGGATGTGAGTAGTTGTCGTGTTTAAACTTCGGCTTTTTTCGTTTTAAGTAGATATCTTCAGGCCATTTTAGGCGTTTTCAACTAGAAGCGATCGGGCACCTCATTACATAACAGCTGTCGGGGTTTCCGACGGTTGAAGTGATGTGTTGATAACAAGAATGTGATTAGCAGTTTGCTTTTGACACAGACTAAAAGAGTTCACCGGTAGGATTATTTTTTAGTACATCAAAGGCCTATCATTATATGTCACTGATATGGCGGACTAAACATGGTGCTAAATCGATCGAATCGCGGCACTTTGAGCATGAAGAGAAACAACAGCGAATGGCGGATTTCAGGTACGCCATTATATGAAATCCAGATAATTTCCGAAGGCTCTAGAGGCGTTTTAGAAATAACCTTGACCTGACGATGCCAAATTTGGTATGAAAGTTCGTGATGATACCAAATTTGGTTGACAAGAGAGTTCTTGTGCAACAATTCCAATCATTTTACATCAAGTAATTTTCTCCACATGGAAAGCCACACTTTTCGCTTTAACTTATTTATGTTTGGTTGGATTCTTTATGTTACCTTATGATTCATTGCACACTTGTATATAGTGATTATTTTCTTCTTATTTATTTTTGTATTTTATCCTCAGTTACTTTGTTTGTATTTTACTATGTTGGGGTTTACCCCCCAGGTATCATTGAAAAACGCCGACAAGGCGATATGTATCACCTGGATAAATAAATAAATGAAAATGAAAATGACATGCACAGTCACTTTCGCACAGACTTGCTAATAAACATAGTGAAATAACGAAAAAAAAGCACAAGGTATTTTAGGCCACAATTAATCAATTTAATGTATGATGACATCCGCGCGCTTCCTTGTTCTAAAAAAGCGAAGAAGGCTACTACATTCAATCGTGTATGAATGTTAGCCTCGTCTACACACTATCATAAAACTGTTCCTTTTTCTTTTTTATGTGCATAATAATTGCCTTTTTAACTTCGCACTTGTTTTTCAGACATAAAGGAACTACCAGATTCTTTGCAAATAGTTTCCAAAATAGTCATCTATCTGTATCAGGACATGATGTTTTCCACCAGTTATTGGAGACACATTTTAACAACCTAACATACAATAAGTGGTTCAATTTATCAATTGAGCGGCATAGACAACACATACATGAGCATGGTAATTCTGCAGCACTTAGTCTAGCTTCAGTACTACTGGTTGTCTGGCTTAGGTATTATTATTATGTATTATCAGTATCATTGAATGTCTAGTTCATTAGAGATCCTTGGTGTTATATATATATATATATGATAAAGATGTACAGGCCGTTTAGGGCCATGAATGGTTAAAAGAATGTTTGCATTTCATATGTAGACCTTTAGTCTTGAACAGATACTGTCCTTCATAATGTAAATGCCAAACTAGAAATTACGCTGAGATTGATCAAAGAACTGTAGTTAAATGACTATAAAGAGCCAATACATGTGTGTAACACGTTTACAAAGCTCATGCAATCTTAGACACACATTTGCAATGATTATTCTATCCTTCCACATAACAAGAAGAATTTTATGATGGCTTGCATTCATTTCGCTTTTTGGGAGGCTTTTCAGGTTCAACATGTTTAATCTCAACTTTGTCACCGTGTGTCACGGTCCGGTCAAAGGCGGGATGAAGAAGATTGCACAGCAAAATAAGGAGTTTCCTGTCAATATCTTCATTTGGCAAAAACATATTAAATGCATCTAAGGGGCAACCTTCATCTTTTCCCTCGATTTCTGCGTGGTAGAGACTCAGTTCTGTTGTCCTCTGCTTGTTTCCTTGTAGGTTTAGAGTATTGAATGCCATGTCCTTTGTGGCTTTGTACGTGCTCTCGTTAGTCTTTATCTTGTCCATCTTGCTGAGGACCAGGAACACCGGTATGTCTATAGACAAACAAATACGCAGTAGAAGCTATATCATTTATATACATCTCTACTTTTTCATGTGCAACAATACATGCAGTTTGCAGGCAACACAAATCTACCAAAATGGAAGGTTTGTATTAGTGTTCTTTATTACTATAGAAATCTATTAATTTATGAATTTGACTAATGAATATCAATCAAAATTTAGTGACCAGTTACTTTGAACGTTGATACATGTATAAAGTTAACTTACACAGCGTACGTAAAAAGGTCATGTCTAGTCTATATAACGTTTTATATCATACCCGGGCCGCGATAACGTTCGATAACGGGTTCCGGACCGGGCCGTACGTTACGGTACGGCCCGGTCGGGAACCCGTTATCGAACGCTTCCATCGCTTCCATAAAACGATTCGAACGTGTTTCGTCCTAACCGCGTGTGCCCCTTTCGAAAATTCGAATACAGAATCCGGACGTTGGAACTGATGTTGTTGCATTTGAGGGTTTAGGGGCACCAACTTTTGGCTCATCTTGCATTATAAGGCGCGTTTTCTTGGGTGGGTATGATATAAATAAAATACAACACGGTGTATTCCGCATCGCCCTCGGTCCCGGCCCTCCCACGAGTCGGATCGCCCTCCGGCCTGCGGCCGTCGGGCGATCCGACCCGCGGTCGGGCCGATACCTCGGGCGATACGGAATACCCCGTGTTGTATTCTATATATATAGA